CTCAGGTGATCTGCCTGCCTCGGCCTCCCAAAGTGCTAGGATTACAGGTATGAGCCACCACGCCTGGCCTCAAGCAATTCTGCCTCAGCCAAGATCTCGTCATGTTGCCCAGGCTGGAACCTTCCTTTTGGTAACATCTTTTTGTAGATGTGACTTTTTTTTTGTTTGAGGTGAGGTCTTGCTCTGTCACCTAGACTGGAGTGCAGTGGCAGTGTTGTGACCTCGATTCATTGCAACCTCTGACTCCTGTGTTCAAGTGATTCTCCTGCCTCAGCCTCCAGAGTAGCTGTCATTACAGGGATGCCTCATGATGCCCGGCTGTTTTTGTGTGTGTGTGTGTTTAGTAGAGATGGGGTTTCACCATGTTGGCCAGGCTGGTTTCAAACGCCTGGCCTCAATTGATCCGCCTTCCTTGGCCTCCGAAAGTGTAGGGATTACAGGTATAAGCCACCATGCCCAGCCTGTAGACGTGACTCTTGCAAATAGGACATACTTATATTTTGTTTTATGACCTACACCAAGTTTTGTCTCTTGGTGTAAAATACCATTTGTGTTTTTTATTCTAGTTTCCATCGTCTTGTTCTCTGGGCTTTTTAATACCTCCTTGTTGCCCACTCCCCATGCCCACTTAATGAGTTGAATAGCAGAACTGGGACTCTGTTTTTAAATTTTGCTAGAATTGAGGAGTAGACATAGATATATAATATATATATATATATATATATAATACATATATGTATATTTCCCCTCTCTGGTCTTTTGAAGTTTCATTTCCTGCCTTTTTTTTTTTTTGAGATGGAGTTTCACTCTGTCTCCCAGCCTGGAGTACAGTGCAATCTCAGCTCGCTGCAACCTCCACCTCCCAGATTCAAGTGATTCTCCTGCCTCAGCCTCTGGAGTAGGTGGGACTACAGGCATGTGCCATCATGCCTGGCTAATTTTTTGTATTTTTAGTAGAGACAGGGTTTCACCACGTTAGCCGGGATGGTCTGAATCTCCTGACCTCGCGATCTGCCCACCTCAGCCTCCCAAAGTGCTGGGATTACAGGCGTGAGCCACCGCACCAGGCTATTTCCTGGCTTTTAGTTCTACAGGTGGTCTCATATTGATGATTTGTTTTTTCTTGAGACGGAGTCTCGCTCTGTCGCCCAGGCTGGAGTGCAATGGCGCCATCTCAGCTCACTGCAACCTCCGCCTCCCAGGTTCAAGCAATGCTCCTGCCTCAGCCCCCCCGAGTAGCTGGGATTATAGTCGTGCACCACCACGCCCAGCTAATTTTTGTATTTTTAGTAGAGATGGGGGTTTCACCATGCTGGCCAGGCTGACCTTGAACTCCTGACCTCAAGTGATCCACCTACCTTGTCCTTCCAAAGTGCTAGGATTACAGGCGTGAGCCACCACACCTCCATCTCTTAAAAAAAAAAAAAACATTGTTTTTTTTTTTTAAGAGATGGAGTCTTGCTATGTTGCCCTGGCTGGTCTAAAACTCCTGGACTCTAGCAGTCCTCCCACTTTGTCCTCCTAAATTGCTGGAATTACAGGTGTGAGGCACTGTGCCTGGCCCTATATTGATTTTAAAATGGAATTTACTGTTTTGAGTTGCCTTTTTGACCAGAAAGGAGTTAGCGTTATTTCAGAAGTTTGAGTAGTATAGTTGGATAGGTTGGGGAACTGACTTTCCACCCTGACAAGCAGAGACGTTTAATTGGGTGGCATCTGCTCTGGATGTCAGGAGGAGGGTCTAGGTGGCAGGGCAAAAGTACCATGTTTAGGTCTTCCTCTTTGCCAGCTGCTGCTTCATTTCAGTTTAGGGCTTCTAGGCTTTTCCTGGGCATGGTTCCCAGAAAGTCCCTCTGGTGCTACTGCCCTGATCAGGTTTCTGGATCTGTTAATAATAGACAACAGTGGGGGAAGGGCCAGCCAGGATCATGGTGGAAACAGGAATAACCATACCAGACGGACAGTTACAGTGCCTGGAGCCCTGACTGTCTGCTTCCTCCCTCTGTCTCATGAGAGTCCTGCAGCGGGCACGCCTTGGCACCCTGGAACCATACTAACCTTGTGAAAGTCTCCAAGTCCCTGTCCCAAATATCAGAACATATGGGCTGGGGAGTACTGGTGTGTTCATGAGAACATTGAAACAGAATATGAAATCTAGACTCTCCCAGAAAATCCACTATGACTGATAACATCCCCAGATCACCCAGGAGGGAAGGAGGTTGGGCAGCACTGAGTTTGCAAATAGTGACTCGGAAAGATGGTATATTATCCGGTGGTGTAGAAGAGGAGTGTGGACTGTGAAGGTGAGGCTTGGAAAAATAAGCTGGCCATGTTGGGAAAGTAGAAATGGAAGAGCAAGACAGGCATGTGATACAGGGCCTCTATTAAGTCAAATCTGAAATCAGCACAGTTTCCACTATGATGCCCCCCAATCTTCCTGTTCCCCATGAATGGCCTCCCTCCTAATGCCTCCCCTTCCTTCAAACTACTCTTCTTCCATCAAAACCTGCTCTCAGTAAAGAGTATGGTCAGTAAAGAGTATAGTTTGGTTGACTATAGGTATAAATTATTTAAAATCTACTTTGACCTTGGGATTAAAATTTTTTTTTTTTTTTGAGACGGAGTTTCGCTCTTGTTACCCAGGCTAGAGTGCAATGGCGCGATCTCAGCTCACCGCAACCTCCGCCTCCTGGGTTCAGGCAATTCTCCTGCCCCAGCCTCCTGAGTCGCTGGGATTACAGGCACGCGCCACCATGCCCAGCTAATTTTTTGTATTTTTAGTAGAGACGGGGTTTCACCATGTTGACCAGGATGGTCTCGATCTCTTGACCTCGTGATCCACCCGCTTCGGCCTCCCACAGTGCCGAGATTACAGGCTTGAGCCACCGCGCCCGGCGGGATTAAATTTTTAAAACATTATTTAAAATAGGCCGGGCACAATGGCTCATGCCTGTAATCCTAGCACTTTGGGAGGCAGAAGCGGGTAGATTGCCTGAGCTCAGGAGTTTGAGACCAGCCTGGGCAACACGTTGAACCCTGTCTTTACTAAAATACAAAAAAAAAAAAAAAAAAAAGTAGCCAGGGGTGGCGGCATGTGCCTGTAATCCCAGCTACTTGGGAGACTGAGGCAGCAGAATTGTTTGAATCCAGGAGGCGGAGGTTGCAGTGAGCCAAGATCACGCCATTGCACTCCAGCCTGGGCAACAGTGAGACTCCATCTCAAAAAAAAAAAAAAAAAAAAAAATTATTTAAAATCCTTAAGCCTTCAAAAATTAACACATATATGATATTTTAAATGAGATATTTAAAAAATTAAAAACACATATAGAAAACTACATGAAGAGAATATATAGCTTAATAAATTATGAAGTGAAGTACTTAGGACTAGAAATAGCACTTAGGACTAGAAATAGCATTTGGCTAGCTATGCCAGAAGCCAGCTCTGTGTCCCATCTCATCACAATTCCTCCCCTCCCAAGAGTAACCACTATCCTGACTTTTATGGTAATCACTTAGGAGGATTTTATTTTAATGGGACTAAAAATACGTAGCTATAATCACTAATGGTAAAATATTAGGCAGTTGAGGGATGCTTGTGGGAACCATGAGAGGCAGCCAGATCTCAGCACACTTAAAATTACACCATTTCCCACAGTTCCCTCAGCCTATGCTTCATCTCTGCACACACCTTTATAAACATGCTTGTATGTCCTGAAGGTGCTACCTCCTTTCTGGGGGCTATGACCTATAACCTGGAGGTGCTGAACAAATGCTTGTAGGAGGAATGAATGGATGTTTTTAAAAAAATGAATTGTTTCACACATTCATCTATGCATTCTTTCAATATTTAATGAATGCCTAAAATGTACACAGATACGAATCTATCTGTCCCTCTATACTCTACCGTCATTCCTGTCCTCCCCTTCTCCTTATCTTCCTCTTTTCCCACCTTTTTTTTTAAAGACGGGGTTTCACCATGTTGGTCAGGCTGGTCTTGAACTCCTGACCTCAGGTGATCCGCCCACCTTGGCCTCCAAAGTGCTGGGATTACAGGCGTGAGCCACCACGCCCGGCCTCCCACCTTATTTCTTACTTTCGCTGTGCGACAGAGCTAGACTGAGTGCCCTGCAAGGCAGGATTCAGAGATACAAGAGTAGGCCAGTGGAAACAGACACTGTGGAAAGGAGCCAGATTAAATAAGGGCAGAGACAGTGGTATTACATGCAGGGACCAGAATGAAAAGCAGTGATTCACAGAGCACTGCAACTGAGGACACTCCCTTCACTTTGAGAGCTCCTTCGGGATTGGGGTCAATGAGGGCTGGCATCAAGATGAAGGGCAGCCAGGCTCCTCCTCCCTGGAGATGTGGTGCCCTTAATCCTCTCCACCCCACCCCCACTCATCCCTCACATTGACCAGCGTCCTGGGCCTTTAAGAGTTGGATGGGCTGGACGGGAAAGAGCTCACATCTCTCCCCTTCTTACTGCTTCCCTCCGGCTATAACTTGCCAGTCACCGCAGCCAGCTGCGGTAGAAGAGGGGAGGAAAAAAGCCAGTGCCAAGGGGAGCAAAAGAGAAAAGGAGCCAGGCTGGGCTTCCTGATCGTACAGCATCGCAGAGCTCGGGAGGCACAGTTCAGACACAGGACTGCTATTCTGCACAGACAGGACTGCTATTCGGCCTTCCTGCCCACGGTAAGAGTCTGGAAGCTCTGACTAGCCTCTGCTCCAAGCTCTGTCTTCCCTGAATCCCTATCTCTGCCCTCTAGATGCTCACCCACACTGGTTAAATTGTACCCGAGACTCCTTTCCTCACCCTAACAGCGCTACAGGGCTCCCACCTCCCGGTTCTCTCTAGCTTATCCTCCTTGATTACAGCTTTCCTCCTGGTTGTGTCAGTATCCCTTTGTATGAGGTACCTCTTAGCTATGCAGGGCCAGGAGTGCCAACCCTAGCCACTCCTGAGATGAGTCCCACCACCAATAAGGGAAGAGAAAATTGAAATAGCTACGCTTTAGCATAGATTCATTAACAGATTGTTGAGGATTGCAAAATAGGGGTTGACCAAGAATCATGGGGAATCAGAGATCCCTGGTAATAGGGAGAGTTATGAGAGTTCCTTAAAAAGAGTCAGCGTTTGAGTTTTATGCCTTGTTCTTTGCCTATTCAATGAACCAGAGCAATTTCTTAGCACACCAGAGTGCTGTATTGGTAAGAAAACCTACTTCTAGTTCTGCCTGTGTCATTAACTAGCTATGGGATCCCTAACCACAGCTTCCTGATCTGTGATAGGAGAGAGTTTAGGGTTTCCCAGACTTGCCTGGGTACTAGGTGTACTTGTTAAAAATAAATATATTATTGAGCCCCATCCTGGGAAACTCTGATCCGGTATATTTTTGGGTAGGGCTAAGGGATCTCAATTTTACATTCCAGAGGCTACTGATGTAGCTGGGAATGTCTGGATTAGATGTGTTATAAAAGAACCTTCAAGGGCCAACATTCTATGACCTGTGACCAGAGCCATTCTGTCCTCTATATGAACCAGGTTAGGCATAATCCTTCTCAGAAGCAAGGGAGTAGACAAAATGATTCTCTTCTTTCTTGCCCCTCAGAGAGACCCGAGACACCCTGAATCCCACCGTAATCTCCTTGGTGCCATTGGCAACTCTGCCAAAGTCCATCTCTAGGTGACGTGAAGTCACTTAGAAGTTGAGGACCAGGGCCGGGCGCGGTGGCTCACGCCTGTAATCCCAGCACTTTGGGAGGCCGAGGCGGGTGGATCACAAGGTCAAGAGATCGAGACCATCCTGGTCAACATGGTGAAACCCCGTCTCTACTAAAAATACAAAAAAATTAGCTGAGCATGGTGGCACGTACCTGTAATCCCAGCTACTCAGGAGGCTGAGGCAGGAGAATTGCCTGAACCCAGGAGGCAGAGGTTTCGGTGAGCCGAGATCGCGCCATTGCACTCCAGCCTGGGTAACAAGAGCGAAACTCCGTCTCAAAAAAAAAAAAAAAAAAAAAAAAAGAAGTTGAGGACCAAATCGTGCTCTGCAGCTCTGGGCTACTTCTCACCTCTTTTGGTGTCTCTATTTTCATGTCTGTATTAGAGAGGTAATTACTATATCATTAAAGATCTCCATATATGTGTCTGGAATTAATATTTAAGACCAACCTCTCTTATTCTCAGACATCATTCTCTGTGTTTTTCCCAGTGCCCTCACTCCCAAGTCCTTTGCTCCTTCTCTCCTCACTGCACCTGCATCAGCTGTGGCATCCTTCCTATTCTATCATTAGACTGCAGAGGAAACAGCGAGACCTAGAACACCTAGGTTCTAATTCACATTCTCTGGGCAGTTTGTTTGGTCAATCTCCTAGGATACAGAGAAAAGTGAGGCTGAGCAGAGGGACGTCCACGCTACTGAGTTCTGAACCCAAGTGTTCTCCCTTCTGGACCACAGCCTCAAAATTCTCAGAGGAGATGAGAATCGGAGCCATTAGAAATTAGTGGAGTCAAAAGACGGAACCAACTGGAAGAGGGGATGGGGAAAAGGGATGAGGAGAAGGATGAGAAGAGGAGAGACTGACCTAGGTGAGCAAATAGGAAGACAGAGAGAGGATTAGGAGAGAGAGAGGTGAGGATGGGGCTAGACACGATGGCGCACGCCTGTAATCCCAGCACTTTGGGAAGCCCAGGCAGGAGGATTGCTTGAGGCCAGGAGTTTGAGACCAGGGCAACACAGGGAGACCTTATCTCCACACAAAACAAATAATAATTTTAAAAATTTATTTCTGCCAGGCACGGTGACTCACACCTATAATCCCAGCACTTTGGGAGGCCGAGGCAGGCGAATCATATGAGGTTGGGAGTTTGAGACCAGCCTAACCAACATGGAGAAACCCCATCGCTACTAAAAATACAAAGTTAGCCGGGCATGGTGGCGCATGCCTGTAATCTCAGCTACTTGGGAGGCTGAGGCAGGAGAATCGCTTGAAGTTGGGAGGCGGAGGTTGTGGTGAGCTGAGATTGCTCCATTGCACTCCAGTCTGGACAACAAGAGTGAAACTCCATCTCAAAAAAAAAAGTATTTTTATAGTGAACTGGGAAGGAAAAAAAAGGACCAAGTCAGGCATGGGATGGGGAAAAGAAAGAAAATGAGATGAAAGAAGCTGGGCACAGTGGCCCACCCCTGTAATCCCAGCACTTTGGGAGGCTGAGGCAGGTGGATCATCTGAGGTCAGGAGTTTGAGACCAGCCTGGCCAACATAGAGAAACCCTGTCTCTACTAAAAATACAAAAATTAGCCGGGTGTGGTGGACCTGTAATCCAATCCCAGCTATTCAGTAGGCTAAGGCAGGAGAATTGCTTGAACCCGGGAGGTGGAGGTTGCAGTAAGCCGAGATCATGCCACTGCACTGCAGCCCAGCCTGGGCAACAGAGTGAGACCCCATGCCCCCCCCCAAAAAAAAGAAATAAAGAAAGGAGAAAGAGAGAGAGGGAGGGAGGGAGAGATGGAGAGAGAGAGGGAGGAAGGAAAGAAAGAGAAAATGATGGAGAGGAGAGACAAAATATCGATGTCCCTCATTGATTCCTAGCCTTACTTCAACCTGCTTTCTAGAGAAGGCCCTTTCTAAGAGCAGAGTCATTGTGAGATCCTTGAGCGGGCTGTATGGAGGTATGGAGACCTGGGTTCTTTTTTTTTCCTCTCTAAGATGAAGTTTCACTCTTGTTGCCCAGGCTGGAGTGCAATGGCTCGATCTTAGCTCACTGCAACCTCTACCTCCTGAAGGTTCAAGCAATTCTCCTGCCGCAGCCTCCCAAGTAGCTGGGATTTCAGGTATGCACCACCACACCCAACTAATTTTTATTTTTTTAGTAGAGATGGAGTTTCACCATGTTGGTCAGGCTGGTCTCAAACTCCCGACCTCCAGTGATCTGCCCACCTTGGCCTCCCAAAGTGCTGGGATTACAAGTGTTAGCTACAGCACCTGGCCAGAGACCTGGGTTCTAATTCCAGTTCCGTTACTCATTAAACAACTCTAGCACTAATTTTTTTTTTTTCTTTTTTTTGAGATGGAGTCTCATTCTGTTGCCTAGGCTGGAGTGCAGTGGCATAGTCTTGGCTCACTGCAACCTCCACCTCCCAGGTTCAAGTGATTCTCCTGCCTCAGCCTCCCAAGTAGCAGAGACTATAGGTGCATGCCACCACACCCAGCTAATTTTGTTTCACTATGTTGGCCAGGCCGGTCTTGAACAACTGACCTCATGATCTGTCCGACTCGGCCTCCCAAAGTGCTGGGGTTACAGGCATGAGCCACCATGCTCGGCCTTTTATTTTTTTAATTTTTTTATTATACTTTAACTTCTGGTATACATGTGCCATGGTGGTTTGCTTCAATCATCAACCTGTCATCTACATTAGGTATTTCTCCTAATGCTATCCTTCCCCTAGCCCCCACCCTGCAACAAGCCCCAGTGTGTGATGTTCCTCTCTCTGTGTCCATGTGCTCTCATCGTTCAACTCCCACTTATGAGTGAAAACATGCCGTGTTTAGTTTTCCGTTCTTGTGTTAGTTTGCTAAGAATGATGGTTTCCAGCTTCATCCATGTCCCTGCAAAGGACATGAACTCATCCTTTTTTATGGCCACATAGTATTCCATGGTGTATATGTGCCACATTTTATTTATCCGGTGTATCATTGATGGGCATTTTGGTTGGTTCCAAGTCTTTGCTATTGTGAATAGTTCTGCAATAAACATACATGTGCATGTATCTTTATAGGAGAATGATTTATAATCCTTTGGGCATATACCCAGTAATGAGATCGCTGGGTCAAATGGTATTTTTGGATCTAGATACTTGAGGAATCGCCACTCTGTCTTCCACGATGGTTGAACTAATTTATGCAACCACCAATAGTGTAAAAGTGTTTCTATTTCTTCATATCCTCTCCGTCATCCATTGTTTCCTGACTTTTTAATGATCACCATTCTAACTGGTGTGAGATGGTATCTCATTGTGGTTTTGATTTAAATTTCTCTAATGACCAGTGATGATGAGCTTTTTTCCATGTTTGTTGGCCCACTAATTCTTTTGAGTTCACCTAACCTTTCTAGTTCTCAGGCTCCTTTTCTATAAAATGAAATCCAGCTTTGACCTTCTATGGCTCCCTGATTTGAAACTGGTCCTCTGATCCAGACCATCCTGGCCAACACGATGAAACCCCATCTCTACTAAAAATGCAAAAATTAGCTGGACATGGTGGCGGACGCCTGTAATCTCAACTGCTTGGGAGGCTGAGGCAGAAGAATCACTGAACCCAGGAAGTGGAGATTGTGGTGAGCTGAGATTGCACCACCGCATTCCAGCCTGGGTGACAGAGTGAGACTCCATCTCAAAAAAAGAAAGAAAGAAAGAAGGAAACTGGCTGTCTTATGACCACATGTCATATGGATACAGGTGTTTTTGTTTGTTTGTCTGTTTTGAGACGGAGTTTCACTCTTGTTGCCCAGGCTGGAGTGCAATGGTGTGGTGATCTCAGCTCACAGCAACCTCCGCCTCCCAGGTTCAAGTGATTCTCCTGCCTCAGTCTCCCAAGTAGTTGGGATTACAGGCATGTGCCACCACGCCTGGCTGACTTTGTATTTTTAATAGACACACGGGATTTCACCATGTTGGACAGGCTGGTCTTGAACTCTTGACCTCAGGTGATCTGCCCGCCTCAGCCTCCCAAAGTGCTGGGATTACAGGCATGAGCCACCACACCCGGTTGACAGCATATGTCTTAAAAGAGGCACTCTTTTTTGGTAGGTAGAGAAAATTTGAAAATGTAGTTCTGGGACTTGTGTAATTTATTGGTCCATTAAAACCGTGAGAATAACTGTAAAGAAAAATTATAAAATATGTTCTACCATGTGAAGATAGAAGAAGACAACTAAGCGTTGTCGAAGAGAAAACAAACAGTCTGCTCCAGCCCCTCAGGAGCTGGACAATCACATGGGAGCATAGAGAGGGCTCCCAGAATAGGGATGCTGGAAGGCTTCCACCTGGAAATGAGAAGGCCAGGGTGTGGAGAGATTCTAGTTTCTCAGAAAGACATCCAGCAAGATGTTGGTTCCTAATAATGAGAGGGTGTGGAGTGAGCAAAACGTGGCACTAGTAGTCCGTGGGGTATTGGGTAGGAAGGGGGTGCTTGGCAGACACTTTGGTTTAGTTCTGAAGAGAGCCATGGAAAATAGTGGAGGCTCTGGGATCAGACATATCTTGGTTTAAATTCTGATCCTTATGTGATTTGAGTCAGGCTTCTAAACCTATTTAAAGTCTCAGAGTCACTAAACTCAAAATTAGAAGCAAACATTAGCTACAGGGTCGGGTGTGGTGGTTCACGCCTGTAATCCTAGCACTTTGGGAGGCCGAGGTGGGTGGATCACCTGAGGTCAGGAGTTCAAGACCACCCTGGCCATCATGGTGAAACTCCATCTTTAAAAAAAAAAATCAGCTACAGACTATGTAGCTGAAGTGCCTGGCACATAGTGGGCACTCAGGAAACACTGGTTTCTTTCTCTTGCTTGATCTTCAAGATTCACCCAGAGCCCTTTGCTCTTCTTTGCTTCTTTAGAGGACTCTGGTGCCAGCCGGTGGAACAGTGGGTGATGGCGTCCCTGCTGCAAGACCGTGAGTGCCCCTGCAGGGGAAGAGGGGTTAGGGAAGGGAAGGAGGCTGGACCCCTGTTCCAGAGCTCTCCTGGGACCCAATACCCTCTCTGCTGGCTACCTAGCCCGTGCTTTTCCTGACCCAGGGCTGACCACCGATCAGGACTTGCTGCTGATGCAGGAAGGCATGCTGATGCGCAAGGTGAGGTCCAAAAGCTGGAAGAAGCTGAGATACTTCAGACTTCAGAATGACGGCATGATGGTCTGGCATGCACGGCAAGCCAAGGGCAGTGCCAAGCCCAGCTGTGAGTTACCTAGATAGCAGGGGGTGGGTACATGGGTGGATAGGATCTTAAGGAGCCCAGCAGCCTGAGGGCAGGGGAGGGACCAAAGTCCTACAATAGTGTGTGTTTGTGCTGTCCTAACTGTGGCTGTATCTGAGCCTGTAAAAGGAGATCATAACAGTACTTGCCTCGTAAGGCTGGTATGAGGATTAAATTAGTTATCATATATAAAGCATTTAGAAGAGTCCTGGTAGGGCCGGGTGCAGTGGCTCACACCTGTAATCCCAGTACTTTGGGAGGCCGAGGCGGGCAGATCATCTGAGGTTGGGAGTTCGAGACCAGCCTGACTAACATGGGGAAACCTCATCTCTACTAAAAATACAAAATTAGCCGGGCGTAGTGGTGCATCCAGTAATCCCAGCTACTCGGGAGGCTGAGGCAAGAGAATCACTTGAACCTGGGAGGCGGAGGTTGCGGTGAGCCAAGATTGCGCCATTGCACTCCAGCCTGGGAAACGAGTGAAACTTCATCTCAAAAAAAAAAAAAAAAAAAAAAGAGCCTTGGTACATAGTAAGATGTAATAAATCATTGGTTATATCTTGTCATTATTATAATAAGACCATGATCTCAGGCATCAGCCTGCCTAAATGAAAGCCCTGGCTCTGCCACTTTCTGAGTAGCTTTGGACAAATCAAGTAGTTAAACTATGGCTGGGCATGATGGCTCAATGCCTGTAATCCCAGCAATTTGGGAGGTTGAGGCAAGAGGATTGCTTGAGACCAGAAGTTCAAGACCACCCTGGACAGCATAGGGAGACCCTGTCTCAATAAAAAATAAAAATAAAAAATTAACTGGGTGTGGTGCTGTATGCCTGTGGTCTCAGCTATTTGGGAGGCTAAGATGGGAGGATCCCTTGTGCCCAGGAGGTTGAGACTGCAGTGAGCTGTGATCACACCACTGCACTCCTGCCTGGGGAGCGAGACCCTGTCTCTAAAAAAATATATACATACATACATACATACATATATACATAAATCAAGCTTCAGTTTCCTCATCTGTAAAATGGGGATTAAACAGTATCTGCTTAGTAGGTTACAAGGACTCAGTGAGTTAATGTGTAAAACACTTAGCATGGGATGTAAAACCAGGATGCATTTAATAAATGTTAGCCATTGTGATAAATATTTTTAAATATAAAAAATGTGGCCAAGTGTCATGGCTCATGCCTGTAATCCCAGCAGTTTGGGAGGCCAAGGCAGGTGGATCGCCTGAGGTCAGGAGTTCAAGACTAGCCTGGCCAACATGGTGAAACCCCATCTCTACTAAAAATACAAAAATTAGCCAGGCATGGTGGAAGGCACCTGTAGTCTCAGCTACTCAGAAGGCTGAGTCAGGAGACTCACTTGAACCCAGGAGGCAGAGGTTGCAGTGAGCTGAGATCATGCCATTGCACTCCAGCCTGGGTGACAAGAGGGAAATTCTGTCTCAAGAAACAAAACGTAAAAAATCATAACAGTGTGCACTTCTTGACCAAACTCTTTATGATAACAGGACATAATCTGATCACAGGACATATCTAAGAGAGTCTGTTTTAAAGACATAATTAAATTGCTCACAATCCATACCACCCCCAGCTGAGGTAAGGGGATGAAAGAATTTCTCTGGTTCCCTCGTAGACATCTGGGAAGAGGAAGCTCTCAAACCTGGAATGGGAGAACTGGACTTGGGCATATAATGCTTTAGTAGAACTGCCTTTCAAATGTGTTTCCATTTGTCATCCACACCAGTCCTCCTGTGATCACCATTGGGGCTGCCTATGGAAGGGGACTATCCATTATGTCAGATGAGGACACTGAGGAGTTAAGTCATTTTGGTTTGTGTCATACTGCCAGCTTGTGGCTGGAAGCCATGTCTTGCCACTTTCAGCACAGGCTCTTTGCTGTGCTGCCTTTGAAAACATCAATGATTCATGTGGACTCCTGAATCCCTGGGGCATCTCTCTGTACTAATGCTTTTTGGGATTCAGCCTGCAGAGGCTGGGGTTCCTTTCTATGGTATTAGGGAGAAGGGGGTGCTGGTCTTTCACCTTTAGCCCCTGCTATTTGCTCGACTCCCTTCCTCAATGCCTCCGCCTGCTTCTTCTCCGGCAGTCTCAATCTCTGATGTGGATACAATACGTAACGGGCATGATTCTGAGTTGCTGCGTAGCCTGGCAGAGGAGCTCCCCCTGGAGCAGGGCTTCACCGTTGTCTTCCATGGCCGTGGCTCCAACCTGGACCTGGTGGCCAACAGTGTTGAGGAGGCCCAGATATGGATGCGAGGGCTCCAGCTGTTGGTGGATCTTGTCACCAGCATGGACCATCAGGAGCGCCTGGACCAGTATCGGCAGGATGGAGTCAGGGTGGGGGGTGGGGGATCACTCTATCCCTGAAGGAGCCAGATGCAATAGGTCTAGGAAAGGTGAGAAGCGGTGCAGGACTAGGGAGGCCCAAGGGTCTGGATGGTATGGGCGGGGACAGCTCAGGCCAATGTGAGACTGAGACTACTGAGGGAGGAATAGAGGCCAGGGATGACAAATCCAGGCATGAATCAGGACCCCCAGGATTGGAGGAAGAGACAGTGAGAGGCAGAGGAGCAAACAAGATGCTGCTTCTAAGAGCTGCACAGAAGATCCCAGTGACATTAAATAGCATATAGGTGGGAAACCACCCCTTAGAAAGCTCAGTGATACAGACTCACTTCAAGTGTCCTAGATTGCATGCCATTTCATTCATGTATTCATTCATTCACCATCTATTACGCAGAATGTATCAGGCACTATGCCAGACTATAGGGGTACAGTGATTAAGAAGACTCACATATTGCTTCAATTAGTGAAGAGGATGGAATTGTGTAAATAATTTTTTTGGCCGGGCACAGTGGCTCACTCCTGTAATCCCAGCAGTTTGGGAGGCCAAGGCAGGCAGATCACTTGAGGCTGGGAGTTTGAAACCAACCTGGCCAACATGGTGAAACCCCATCTCTACTAAAAAAAAAATACCAAAATTAGCCGGGCGCAGTAGCTCATGCCTGCAATCCCAGCACTTTGGGAGGCCAAGACGGGCAGATCACGAGGTCAGGAGTTCAAGACCAGCCTGGCTAACATAGTGAAGCCCCATCTCTACTGAAAATACAAAAATTAGTCCAGCATGGTGGCATGTGCCTGTAGTCCCAGCTTCTCTGGAGGCTGAGGCAGGAGAATTGCTTGAACTCAGGAGGTGGAGGTTGCAGTGAGCCAAGATTGCACCACTGCACTCCAGCTTGGGCAACAGAGTAAGACTTTGTCTCAAAAAAACAGACAAACAAAACCCAAATTAGCTGGATGTGGTGGTGCACACCTGTAATCCCAGCTACTTGGGAGGCTGAGGCAGGTGAATTCCCTAAACCTGGGAGGCAGAGGTTGCAGTGAGCCGAGATCCTGCCACTTCACTCTAGCCTGGAGGACAGAGTGAGATTCCATCTCAAAAACAAAATAATAATAATATATATATTTTTAAATAGAGACAGGGTCTTACAATATTGCAAAGACTGGTCTCGAACTCCTGGGCTCAAATGATCCTCCTTAGCCTCCCAAAGTACTGAGATTATAGGCATGAGCCTCTGTGCCCAGCCCGTGTAAATAATTTAAGTGCCGTAGAAGTATTATGGTACTTAGATCACTGCAGATATTCAAAGGAATTTTTTTTTTTTTTTTTTCTGAGACAGAATCTCACTCCATCACCCAGGCTGGAATGCAGTGGGGCAATCTCCGCTCCATGCAACCTCCACCTCCCTGATTCAAGCAATTCTCATGTCTCAGCCTCCCTAGTAGCTGGGACTACAGGTGTGTGTCACCATACCCAGCTAATTTTTTGTATTTTTAGTAGGGATGGGATTTCGCCATGTTGGCCAGGCTGGTCTTGAAATTCCTGATCTCAGCTGATCCACCCACCTTGGCCTCCCAAAGTTCTGGGTTTTCAGGCGTGAGCCATCACACCTGGCCAGAATATGGATTTCTTTCTGCAGGCAACAGGGAGGTCCCTGCAGGTGCCTGGGTCATGCAGTGACAAGATAGATTGGTGCTCTGGAGAGATTATTCTAGAAACTGTGTGTAGAATGGATTGGCACTGGGGAGAGACTGGCAAGAAAGACGGGAGAGATGTCAGTGGATGAACGTGCACACACAACTGCACACACAAACACATATATTAGTGCTTTTGCCTTGACTCAGACCTGGATGGCTGAGTGACTGGTTTCAGCGTGGAGACAAAAATCAGGATGGTAAGATGACTTTCCAAGAAGTTCAGCGGTTACTGCACCTAATGAATGTGGAAATGGACCAAGAATATGCCTTCAGTCTTTTTCAGGTGAGTCTGTGGGGAAGGATTTCCAGCAGCCAACCAGGCCACATTTTCACTGGGCCATAAGTCCTCGGACCCCAGTCTGAAACACTCAATTGTTACATCTCTGCTCTGTGCCCTGAGTACTAGGCTCAATGCCCTATGCTCAATGGGAAGTGTAGGGGGTGATTCTTGCCTTTCAGCCTGTTGAAAAGTCATAATTCTATGAAAGGTAAATAACAATATGTTATTATGTTGGACCTCAAGGACCTCTCTGTCCATGGCCAGAATTTCACAGGTGCCTAGAACAATGGAAAACCCCAGCTGGAATGTGAGTAAATAGGAGGAGGGATCTTCTGACCTTTTAGGGGCCTTTGGGAGATTTAACTATTTCTAGTTGAAAATTATCTCTAGTAGCAAATGGTATGGCTAAAATTTTGCCTCTTACTTAGGAAGTGATTTATTCTATGAATATTAAATGTTAGGAGTTCCGTGGGAGTTTTATGGAAACATGTTTGGATCTATCTGCCTGTAAGATTGCTCTTACAGTACAAGCCAGGCATGGTGGCTCACGCCTGTAATCCCAGCACTTTGGGAGGCCGAGGCAGGTGGATCACAAGGTCAGGAGATTGGGACCAACCTGGCCAACATGGTGAAACCCTGCCTCTACTAAAAATACAAAAATTAGCTGGGCACGGTGGCACGTGCCTATAGTCTCAGCTACTAGGGAGGCTGAGGTAGGAGAATAGCTTGAACTTGGGAGGCGGAGGTTGCAGTGAGCCGAGATCATGCCACTGCACTCCAGCCCGGCAACAGAGCTAGACTTTGTCTTAAAAAAAAAAAAAAAAAAAGATTGTAACATTTTCCATTCTCGGAGATGTGCTTATTTTACATTGCATGCCTATATCAAAACATCTAATTTACCGTATAAATAGATACACCTACTATGTATCCATAAAAATTTAAAACATTTATCTTTAAATTAAAAGAAAAAGGTCATAACATTTCCCATTAAAAGCTTCATTCACTCTCTCCTAAACCCTTTCTTGCAGGAAGCAGACACATCCCAGTCTGGGACTCTGGAAGGAGAAGAATTTGTACAGTTCTATAAGGCATTGACTAAACGTGCTGAGGTGCAGGAGCTATTTGAAAGTTTTTCAGCTGATGGGCAGAAGCTGACTCTGCTGGAATTTTTGGATTTCCTCCGAGAGGAGCAGAAGGAAAGAGGCTGCACCTCCGACCTTGCTCTGGAACTCATTGACCGTTATGAACCTTCAGACAGTGGTAAGAGGAATCAGGTGGGGAGGCACCAGATGTAGGTGTTGGAGAGAGGGGCATGATTACAAGGTCCAGAGACAAGCAGTCATCTGCTTCACTGAGAGAAGGTTGAGAAGGTTGAGCCTACCCCTATCCCAACCCCTGCCCAATCATCTCATTTAACCACACCTCCTAAAGGAGAGCAGGCATTCCCTGTTCAGACAAGACGGGTTTTCTCTGAGGTGCTAGATTTCTCAGGAGGAAGAAGATTCCATGACTCCCCATTCCTCCACTATGCTCATATTTCATACCCTTTACTTTCAAGTTCTCCCTGATACCAGCTTTGCCCTCAGCGGAAACGGAAACCCTTGATCCTCTTGCTTTGGCCTCTTCTCTAGTGCAAATGATTCCTTTTCCTCTGGTTCATTCATGGTTCCTGTTTGCTGTTCCTTTAAATGTTGGCTCTCTGCCCCTTCCTGGGTTGTCTTCAATTCTCCAAAGGGTTCTTGAGTCTCTAAGCCCCTGAGCCAGAAAGCCAGTTAGTCCCTGGCTGGAAGAATGATAAGAAGGCCAGTTAGTTAGCTTTTAACAAGTGCAACTGAAATATACCCTCTTGGTCTTCAAAGTTTCTTCCTTTTGCGTTTTCAGTAGACTCATTTCCTGCCCTCCATTCCCCTCAGGGTGTGAGAAATTTACATCAATAATAAATTATTTACAAGGAAGTTTCACATTCCTCATTTCATTTAGTTCTCAGTACAACCTTGTAAATCAACAGTAATTTTTTTTTTCTTTCTTTTTTGAGATGGAGTCTTGCTTTGTCACACAGGCTGGAGTGCAGTGGTGCGATCTCTGCTCACTTCAACCTCTGCCTCCCAGGTTCAAGTGATTCTCCTGCCTCAGCCTCTCGAGTAGCTGGGATTACAGGCACCCACCACCACGCCCAGCTAATTTTTTGCATTTTTAGTAGAGATGGGGTTTCACTGTGTTGGTCAGGCTGGTCTTGAATTCCTGACCTCACAATCCGCCCACCTCAGCCTCCCAAAGTGCTGGGAATACAGGCATGAGCCAAGTGCCTGGCCAACAATAATCTGTATTGGCCCTTTACTGCATATCCCATAATGCACTAATATCTCTACGTACATTTTCTAATACAATGACCTGTTGAAATAGGTGCTGTTATTAAGTTAGTTGTATAAAAGAGGAAAACTTAAGTTTAGAAAGATTCAATGACTTGCTCAAAGCCAACAGCTAATGAGAGAGGAACTGAGATTCAAATCCAAGTCATCTGAGTCTTAGCTGGTGCCTCTCTTGAGAGTAAGGATAAGAGATGGAACGAATGAGAGCTGGACAAATGATCCAGGTTTTCTGGGTCTAAACTCTTACTCCCTTTCATTCATTCATTCACCATTCATTCATTCATTCACTACTTCAGTGAATGCTTATTGAGTTCCTATAATGTATCAGGACCTATGCTAGGCACCAGAGATACATTAGTGACTAGATGAAGCAAGGACACTGCCTTCATGAAACTTAGAGTCAAACAGAAAACGTTAGAGTCAGTTATTTCAGATTTGTTTGGATGTTCAGAATAGAGCAGAGGTTATAGGTTGAGTGCAATGGCTCACATCTGTAATCCTAGCATTTTGGGAGGCCGAGGCAGGCGGATCACCTCGGGTCAGGAGTTCGAGAACAGCCTGGCCAACAGGGTGAAACCCCATCTCTACTAACAACACAAAAAATCAGCCGGGTATGGTAGCAGGAGCCTGTAATCCCAGTTACTCAGGAGGCTGAGACAGGAGAATCGTTTGAACCCGGGAGGCAGAGGTTGCAGTAAACCAAGATTGCACCACTGCATTCCAGCCTGGGTGACAGAGCAAGACTGTCTCAAAACAACAACAACAACAACAAAAAAAAAAAAAAAAAAAAAAAGAAAGAGAAAGAAAGAGGCCGGGCACGGTGGCTCACGCCTGTAATCCCAGCACTTTGGGAGGCCGAGGTGGGCAGATCATGAGGTCAAGAGATCAAGACGATCCTGGCCAACATGGTGAAACCCCATCTCTACTAAAAAAAGTACAAAAATTAGCCGGGCGTGGTGGCACGCACCTGTGGTCCCAGCTACTCAGGAGGCTGAGGCAGAAGAATCGCTTGAACCCAGGAGGTAGAGGTTGCAGTGAGCCAAGATTGAGCCACTGCACTCCAGCCTAACAGAGCAAGACTCCGTCTCAAAAAAAGAAGGAAGGAAGGAAGGAGGGAGGGAGGGAAGGAAGGAAAGAGAAATAGGATCTTCTGTTCCCAGTGCAGAATCCAGTAAACATCAGTTATGTTTCTTTCAACCCCCACCCCTCTTAGTGTTTCCTTCCCTTGCACTTGACAATCAGATATTATACTCTGGCCGCAGAGTGTAGTATCAGTCAGAAAACCTGAGACTCAAGTCTCCACTGTGCTTCTTATTAACTGCATAACCATGGGCAAGTCACTTAAGCTAACTAAGTTTCCTCATTTGTAAAATAATTGATGATCAAATGAAATAATGCACATGAAAAGTATCTGGCAACTGTAAATTTATCTGAGTGATTTGAGTTGTTATGGTCAAGAAGGAAACTTCCTGGCCAGGCACAGTGACTCATGTCTGTAATCCCAGCATTTTGGGAGGCTGAGGTGGGCAGATCACTTGAGGTCAGGAGTTCAAGACCAGCCTGGCCAACATGGTGAAACTCTGTCTCTACTAAACATACAAAAATTAGCCGGGCATGTTGGTGGGCATCTGTAATTTGCGCTCCTCGAGAGGCTGAGGCAGGAGAATCACTTGAACAGGGAGGCAGAGGTTGTAGTGAGTGAAAATTGAGCCACAGCACTCCAGCCTGGGTGACAGAGCAAGACTCCGTCTCAAAAACAAACAAACAAAAAGAATGAAATTTCCACTAGGTGTGGTAGCGCATGCCTGTAATATCAGCACTTTGGGAGGCTGAAGCAGGAGTACAGCTTGAGTCCAGGAGTTCAAGACCAGCCTGGGCATCACAGTGAGACCCCATACCTAAAAAAAAAAAAAAATTACCCAGGTGTGGTGGTGCATTCCTGCAGACCCAGCTAATTGAGAGGCCGAGGTGAGAGGATTGCTTGACCCGGGAGCTCAAAGCTTCAGTCAGCTGTGATCGTGCCACTACCTTCAGCCTGGGCGGCAGAGCGAGACTCTGTCTCAAAAAAAAAAAAAGAAAGAAAAGAAACTTCCTGCCCAACTTCCTGTCATTCTTCACCATCTCCAGGTCTTGTGAAACCTGGAGCAAGGAAGCTGGGCATGAGAGTGAGGTTGTTTCACCTAACAGGTGAGCGTCCTTGTAGCAACATTATTCTCAGTGAGACCGCACAGTCCAGTGGTGCAGGGCATGGCTCTGACACCTGGCTGTCTGGGTTCAAATCCCAGCTTCTACACTTACTAATTACGAGACCTGGAACAAGTTACCTAACCTCTCACGACAAATTATATTACATCTACTTCATCATGTGAGAGAGAACATTAGTGAGATGCTGCATGTAATGCCCTGGGCATAGAGTGAGTGGTTGATAACTATTAGTCACTGTTGTATAAAACCCATACTGAGATGGGTGAGAGCTATGGAGAGTAACAGGGCCCGTTTCGCAATGGAAGTGTAGTCTAAGAGAATGTTGAAAAATGTGCCTCAGTACATCATATGGGAACGAAGAGAGTAAGAAGAAACCCTCAGACCATAATTAGTCTCAGGTATACAGCCCAAGGAAGAAAATACAGGTAGCTTGGCCATGTCACTAAGTCTTTGACTTTGATTCTCTGGGACTCAGTTTCCCCATCTATAAATTAGTCCTTTGGGGCCACACAGTGCCTCATGCCTATAATCCCAGCACTCTGGGAGGCCGGGGTGGGCAGATCACGAGGTTAGGAGTTTTGGACCAGCCTAACCAACATGGTGAAACCCCAGCTCTAAAAAAATAAAAATAAACAAAATTAGTCGAGTGTGGTGGTGCACGCCTGTAATCTCAGCTACTCGGGAGGCTGAGACAGGAGAATCGCTTGAACCTGAGAAGCGGAGGTTGCAGTGAGCCGAGATCACACTATTGCACTCCAGCCTGGGCAACAATGGCGAAAGTCCATCTCAAAAAGAAAAAAATTAGCCTTTTGGATGTTGTCCATTATAGTAACTGGGAGCTCCATTTGGCTATTTAAATTTAAATTAACTAAAATCTAATAAAATTTAAAATTCAGTTCCTCAGTTACACAAACCATATTTCAAGTGCTCAGTAGCCACATGTGGCTAAAGGCTACTATATATGACACTGCAGAATAAAACATTTTTCTTCTTAGTACTGTAGCATAAAAAAAGACCCCCAAAAAGTTTTTAAAAAGACATTTATTTCATTATAGGAAGTTCTGTTAGAGAGCACGGGACTCGAATGACCTTAACTATTCCCTTTAACATTCTTTGAGGGTGGAAATGATTGAAATGATACACACTAGGTGGGGCAGGTTTGGGATCTAAAGGCCGGGAATGGATGCCATCTGAAAGGCAGGACTCCGGATGGAGTGGGATGAAGGATGGGCTGGGATGTTCCCATTCAGAGCTTCTCACTCTAATGTTCACCTATCCACACTCCAGGCAAACTGCGGCATGTGCTGAGCATGGATGGCTTCCTCAGCTACCTCTGCTCTAAGGATGGAGACATCTTCAACCCAGCCTGCCTCCCCATCTATCAGGATATGACTCAACCCCTGAACCACTACTTCATCTGCTCCTCTCACAACACCTACCTAGTGGGGGATCAGCTTTGTGGCCAGAGCAGCGTCGAGGGATACATACGGTGCAGTGGTGGTAGAGAAGGGGTCCAACTCATGAGAGGGACCATGTAGGAAAGTGAGGGGAGCTGTCAGTGTCTCACAGATTGGGACAGTGTTGTAGGGGTTTAGGGGCTGAGGAGCCCTGGATACCTGGGACACTTGGAGGAGATATTGAAGACTGGTGGGAGAATGGTAATGAGACCCTATGGATAAATGGAACTTCTCTTTCACAAGCCATGAAACTCTGGAACTCAGAGGCCCTGACAGACTTATATTGAACAAATAAATAAATGGTTAAATGGAAGGCAATAGAGAATAGGAGTTTAAAATATAAGTTCTGGAGTGAGACCATCTGAAGTCATATCCTAGCTCCCTCACTTGATACTCTGGGGCTGTATTTTTTAAATTTTTTGAGACCGAGTCTTGCTATGTCTTCCGGGACGGAGTGCAGTGGTGCAATTTCGGCTCACTGCAACCTCTGCCTCCTGGGTTCAAGCGATTCTCCTGCCTCAGCCTCCCTAGTAGCTGGGACTGCAGGCTCCCACCACCACGCCCAGCTAATTTTTTGTATTTTTTTTTAGTAGAGACGGGGTTTCACCATGTTGGCCAGGATGGTCTTGATCTCTTGACCTCATGATCTGCCCACCTCGGCTTCCCAAAGTGCTGGGGTTACATGTGTGAGTCACTGTGCCCAGCCTCTGGGGCTAAGTATTTAACCTCTAATAGGAAGTTCCATCCCTATTTCCCGCTCTATGAAATGGGGATGGTAACAGTGCCTATTCTGTCTGGGTTGTTGTGAAGAGATAATCCGTATGTCAATAGCTAATGAACAGTAGCTGCTTTTATTGTGACTAATCATGGATTAGAATGAATAGTCAAGATATCTTTGTATTGCCAGCAACTGAACTAGTAGCTTCAAGGGACACAACGATGAGTAGAACATATAGTTTCCACCTTAGGAAGTCTAGCTGAGAAATTAAGGTGTAAATTTACTGAGAGTTTGAATAACCAAGGTATTGCATAGGAATCGGACACTGTGGCTTATGCCTGTAATTCCAGCATTTTGGAAGGCCGAGGCGGGGAGATCGCTTGAGCCCAGGAGTTCGAGATCAGGCTGGGCAACATAGTGAGACTCCAGCTCTACAAAGAATACAAAAATTAGCCAGGCGTGGTGATGTGTGCCTGTAGTCCCAGCTACTTGGGAGGCAGAGGTGGGAGGATTGCTTGAGCCTGGGAGGTCAAGGCTGCAGTGAGCCCTGATCACACCACTGTACTCTAGCCTGGGTGACAGATTAAGACCCTGTCTCCGCCAGACATGGTGGCTCACGCCTGTAATCCCAGCACTTTGGGAGGCCAAGGCGGGTGGATTGCCTGAGCTCAGGAGTTCACGACCAGCCTGGACAACATGGTGAAACTCTGTCTCTACTAAGACACAAAAAAATTAGCCAGGTGTGGTGGTATGTGCCTGTAGTCCCAGCTACTTGGGAGGCTAAGGCAAGAGAATCGCTTGAGCCTGGGAGGTGGAGGTTGCAGTGAGCCGAGATTGCGCCACTGCACTCCAGCCTAGGCAACAGAGTAAGACTCTGTCTCAACAAAATAAAAAATAAATAAATAAATAAGTAAATAAGTAAAACCAGAACACCAGAAGCATCATGAGGCAATGTGTGATGGGTTGCTATGGAAGGACTGTGAGTCGGGTGGGCTGAAGTATGGGTGGAGATCAGCATGAGCTTGCAGCAGTGTCCCTGTGGACAGAGAAGGCTCTATGCAGATGTAGCTTGAAGGGGTCTGGATGAGTAAGTGTTGGTGAGCACTGTTCTCTCCAGAGTGAGGAGAGAGTCCCTAGGTAGATCAGATATTGACCTCTCCCATTTCTGGGATGGGGGGTTCTTTCAGGGCCCTGAAGCGGGGGTGCCGCTGCCTGGAGGTGGATGTATGGGATGGACCTAATGGGGAACCTGTCGTTTACCACGGACACACCCTGACCTCCCGCATCCTGTTCAAAGATGTCGTGGCCACAGTAGCACAGTATGCTTTCCAGGTAGTAGCCCCAGGTTGGGGACACTGGTGAGGCCAGAAGGATTGAGGGAAGAGCGACCAGCTCTGGGTCTGGGGAGGGTGGAGGAGTACAGGGGAAGTTTCATCAAAAGAGGATTTAACTGTAACTCGTCAGCCAAATATTAAAGGCTGATTATGAATAAGTGCTGGACATGTCACTAATAATTAGTAGTTATGGAGGTAATTACTTTTGGTTAGAAACTATTACTTCTAACAAGTTCTATCACCCTTCTGGAAGGGGGTGGATAGGAGACACAGAAATAGTGGTGAGTAGGGCTGAAGAACAGGAATCTGGAGAATGAAAGCATGAGAGTGTAATGTGAACACATAACAAGGGAATGTGGCCTGGCCTTCCCACTCAGAGCCTGAAAACTCAAAGGTCCCAGAGGGGCCTGGGTCAGCCTGAGCACAGGCATGAGATTTGGGATCCCAAGATGCGAAAACGTCCTTAGATGTGGACAGTGTCCCGGGCGTGGGTGTCAGACCCAGCAAGATCTCACTGGATCCTGTGATGGAGTTTGAACTTAGCAGTCAGGGTATCCATTTGAGTCAGTAAGTAGGGAGGCCTAGGAAGCAGGTACTTGGAGAAGTAGGTTGCAGCATTTTAGGACTCTGAATCCAGGCCGGGTGTGGTGGCTCACGCCTGTAATCTAAGCACTTTGGAGGCCAATGCAGGTGGATCACCTGAGGTCGGGAGTTCAAGACCAGCCTGACCAACATGGTGAAACCCTGTCTTTAAAAAAAAAAAAAAAACAACAAAAAACAAAAAATTCTGAATCCACCATTCCCTCCCCTCACCACCAGACATCAGACTACCCAGTCATTTTGTCCCTGGAGACCCACTGCAGCTGGGAGCAGCAGCAGACCATGGCCCAACATCTGACTGAGATCCTGGGGGAGCAGCTGCTGAGCACCACCTTGGATGGGCTGCTACCCAATCAGCTTCCCTCGCCTGAGGTAGGGACACTGTTCCTCCAGCCCAGGCTCTGCTGTGGCTTCTGTATCCCTCCACCTTGGCTCCTTCCTCTGTGCCCCTCTGTTCCCTTCTATCTATCCTCGGATGGCCCATCTTGTTCTTTAATGTCCTTGGATCCTTGGAGACAACTTTAACTTTAAAAAAATCTAATTGAACACAGAATTTTATTTATAGTTCTCTATATTTTAAATCAACAATTTATGTTATTTCTTTTCTCAATGGAAGATCTTGATTTTTTTCCTGGTAGCTCATAGTTGTGGAGTATACAAACAATATAAAGGGAAATCTCCCCTCCCATCATAATCCCAACCTCTCCCATAACAACCAGTTATCAATAATTTTTTTTTTTTTTTTTGAGATGGAGTTTCACTCTTGTTACCCAGGCTGGAGTGCAATGGCGCTATCTCGGCTCACCGAAACCTCTGCCTCCTGGGTTCAGGCATTTCTCCTGCCTCAGCCTCCTGAGTAGCTGGGATTACAGGCACGTGACACCATGCCCAGCTAATGTTTTGTATTTTTAGTAGAGACGGGGTTTCACCATGTTGACCAGGATGGTCTCGATCTCTTGACCTTGTGATCCACCCGCATCGGCCTCCCAAAATGCTGGGATTACAGGCTTGAGCCACCGCGCCCAGCAGTAATTTTTTTTTTTTTTTTTTTTTTTATTAGACGGAGTTTCACTCTTGTTACCCAGGCTGGAGTGCAATGGCGCGATCTCGGCTCACCGAAACCTCTGCCTCCTGGGTTCAGGCAATTCTCCTGCCTCAGCCTCCTGAGTAGCTGGGATTACAGGCACGCACCACCATGCCCAGCTAATTTTTTGTAGTTTTAGTAGAGACGGGGTTTCACCATGTTGACCAGGACGGTCTCGATCTCTTGACCTCGGGATCCACCCGCCTCGGCCTCCCAAAGTGCTGGGATTACAGGCTTGAGCCACCGCGCCCGGCAGTAATTTTTTTTTTTTTTTTTTGAGACGGAGTTTCACTCTTGTCACCCAGGCTGGAGTGCAATGGCGCAATCTCAGTTCACTGCAACCTCCACCTCCCAGGTTCAAGCGATTCTCCTACCTCAGCCTCCCGAGTAGCTGGGATCATAGGCATGCACCACCACATCTGGCTAATTTTTGTATTTTAGTAGATACGAGCTTTCATCATGTTAACCAGGCTGGTCTCGAACCCTTGACCTCAGGTGATACACCCTTCTTGGCCTCCCAAGGTGCTGGGATGACAGGTGTGAGCCACCACAGCCAGCCTGATTTTCAAGTTATGTTTCTTTTTATTTTATTATTATTATTTTTTTTGAGATGTAGTCTTGCTCTGTTACTCAGGCTGGAGTGCAGTGGCACGATTTTGGCTCACTGCTTGCACTCCATCTCTCGGGTTCAAGCGATTCTCCTGCCTTATCCTCTGGAGTAGCTGGGATTACAGGCGCATACCACCACGCCTGGCTAGTTTTTGTATGTTTAGTAGAGATGAGTTTTCACCATGTTGGTCAGGCTGGTCTTGAACTCCTGATCTCGTGATCTGCCCACCTTGGCCCCCAAAGTGCTGGGATTACAGGTGTGAGCCACTGCGCCCAGCCTCAAGTCACCTTTCTAAAGGCTTTCCCACAATAAGATTTTTCAAAAAGATTCTCTATTTTTTTTTTTTTTTGAAACAAGTTTCGCTCTTGTTACCCAGGCCGGAGTGCAATGGCGCAATCTCGGCTCACCGCAACCTCCGCCTCCCGGGTTCAGGCAATTCTCCTGCCTCAGCCTCCTGAGGAGCTGGGATTACAGGCACGTGCCACCATGCCCAGCTAATTTTTTGTATTTTTAGTAGAGACGGGGTTTCACCATGTTGACCAGGATGGTCTCGATCTCTTGACCTCGTGATCCACCCGCCTCAGCCTCCCAAAGTGCTGGGATTACAGGCTTGAGCCACCGCGCCCGGCTCTTCTCATATTCTTAGGTTCTTTATACTGACATGTATATCTCTAATCTATAAGAAGTAGTGTGTCAAATGTGTGGTAGGAGACCGTCTACATTACTTTCCATATGGATAGAGATGTTAAAAGTTTGCTTAACAATATGGGAATTCCAATTTTATTTATCAATGATTTGATCTCTTCCCTTGGGAACTGTGACCACTCACTCACTTCCTCTGACTTTGAGAACAATGAGACCAGCATGATTCCCAGGAGGACCCCAAAGCAGACAGGTAGACAGGCCTCTTCATTTTTGTCCCCTAGGAGCTTCGGAGGAAGATCCTGGTGAAGGGGAAGAAGTTAACATTTGAGGAAGACCTGGAGTATGAGGAAGAGGAACCAGATCCTGAGCTGGAGGGCGAACAGGAGTCAGAATTGGCGCTGGAGTCCCAGTTTGAGCCTGAGCCGCAGGAGCAGAATCTTCAGAGTAAGGACAAAAAGAAGGTAAGCCAGGAGTGGTCTTTCTGCTGTGGCATTTAGTCAACTTGCACAAGCTGAGGACCTGTTCGTTAAGAGATTAGAGCCAGCAAGGTGCAGGGCCAAGGAGCAATGACCCTTCCTCCCAATGAAGGAGATGTAAGAATGCATACATGGCATCACTGTATATTCTATATTGCCATATACAGGTATATTGCAGTGACTTTCCAACTTTTTTGGGCCATAATTTTTTTTTTAAATGAAATCTTATACAAAATGGATAAATGCAGAACTATTCTAATTGAAGCACCCACTTGGCTCCCTCCCGGGTGTCCCAGTGACTCCTGAGGCATTTTTGTACTTCTTGTTCTTTTTTTTTTTTGAGACAGAGTCTCATTCTGTCACCCAGGCTGGAGTGCAGTGGCGTGATCTCGGCTCACTGCAATCTCTAGCCCCCAGGTTCAAGTGATTCTCCTGCCTCAGCCTCCTGAGTAGCTGGGATTACAGGTGCCTGCCACCATGCCAGGCTAATTTTTTTTGTATTTTTAGTAGACATGGGGTTTCATCATCTTGGCCAGGCTGGTCTTGACCTCCTGACCTTGTGATCCACCCACCTCGGACTCCCAAAGTGCTGGGATTACAGGCATGAGCCACTGCGCCCGGCCCCTTCTTAGTCTTCTTAAAGGCCAGTTTAAAAACCAGGGATGAGGGTGTGTGTTTGTATGTGTAACATTATTGGGCATAGTTAGAGAAAGCTTCTTGGAAAGGGTGAGTGTTAGGAAGGGCCAGCATTAGCCAGAGGAGCAGGAAGGAGAGTGCTTTGAGGTGGGAAGGTGAAGGCTTTGAGAAGGCTGTGCTAGGTGGTCCATCTCCCTATGGGGAAGGGAGGCAGAGGAGAAGGGATGCCATTGGTGGGGCTCCAAGATCCCCGTTTGAAGTCTGCCTTTCTCTCTTGTGCACTTGCGTGGCTCACTCAGCTGACTGACTCCTAGCTTATCCTGTTCCTTCTGGGGCTGTGGTGTCTAACCTGCTGCCATGTCCAGGGATGGAAATGGGAATTCAGGAGATAAATCCAAAGATATTACTCTGGGACCCTCACGTCCTTCCAGGTGTGACTTCCATGACCATTTGCATACCTTGACACATCTGTCTGGATTCATTTACATTTTGACCAAAGATTATTGTTCCTTTGTTTTAAAAGAGTGGGAGAGAGAATGATGCCTCTGTTTAAAAGTAATAATAAATTTAAAACCTGTTACCCAGGATATACCATAGAGCAAACACAAGTCCAGAGGCTGACGCTGATCCCAGCAGTACATGCAGACTGCCTTTATTCCCATTCCCACCCCCAGGTTGTGACGTGCCCGCTGTTTTGTCCGTCTATCTGTTGTCAGATTACGGCCCAGGCTACTACTATTTCCAAGCCTGTGTCCCTTCTCTTGTCCCAGCAGGTGAGGCAGGAGGGAGAAAACAGTGGGGAGGCAGTGGGCAGAGGCTTAGGTTGGATGGCTATTAGCTTCTCTCAGACTGCTGAGGGTTCAATTTCATCTTCTTTTCCATCTTATCTCCAGAAACCCAAGCTCATCTTGTGTCCAGCTCTCTCTTCCCTGGTTATCTACTTGAAGTCTGTCTCATTCCGCAGCTTCACACATTCAAAAGAGCACTACCGCTTCTACGAGATATCATCTTTCTCTGAAACCAAGGCCAAGCGCCTCATCAAGGAGGCTGGTCAGGACCAAAATGGAGAATGGGGAGGGAAGTGGGATGGATAGGTTCAGGCCTGAGAAACTGGCAGGTAAGTCCCAAGAAAAAAGACAGGGTAGCTAAGGAGAGATGAAGGACTTCAGAAACTCCTCAGGGCAGGCAAGGGCAGAGGAGTGATGAATGGTGGCTCAAGACTCTAGGGGGAGGAAGGCTGGGGAAGATGGTCTGGATGGAACAGAGTAGAGAGGCACACTGAAACTTTCTGGAACCAGCTTCAGTTGCTGGAAGAGTGAAGAGTGAAGTAGGTAGGCAGTGTCCTTGCGACCAGGGAGGTGGGAAATTCCACTCCACTTCCATTTCCCTCTCTATACCCTTTTACAGGCAATGAGTTTGTGCAGCACAATGCTTGGCAGTTAAGCCGTGTGTATCCCAGCGGCCTGAGGACAGACTCTTCCAACTACAACCCCCAGGAACTCTGGAATGCAGGCTGCCAGATGGGTGAGCAGGCCAACAGGAACTGGGTAGAGGGAGTGGAGGAGGAGCAGATGGGAAATAAGTTCTCTAGTGACGGTAGGGTTGGGGAATGCTTAAGAAAATTGCTAGGCTGAGAAATGCTATCAGTGGAGGTATTACCAGCAGGCACCTTATACCCAATACCCCCATCTTCTGAACTCCCTGAAAGGGGCTAGAAGGCCTCCATGGTGAATCTTGCTCTTCTTTTTTCCTGGGGCCCTCAGTGGCCATGAATATGCAGACTGCAGGGCTTGAAATGGACATCTGTGATGGGCATTTCCGCCAGAATGGTGGCTGTGGCTATGTGCTGAAGCCAGACTTCCTGCGTGATGTCCAGAGTTCCTTCGACCCCGAGAGGCCCATCAGCCCTTTCAAGGCCCAGACTCTATTAATCCAGGTACAGTGGAAAGAAACTGAGATAACTGGGACAGAAGTGGGGGAAGAGGTGGCTAGGCCTGACAGGAATGTAAAGGCTGGAGAGCCTGTTAACAGTGCCTAGCTTCAAACCACAACTTCCTAATTTGGTAGTGTTGGGCAAGTTCCTTAACCTCTCCATACCTCAGCCTGCTCACCTGCAAAATGAGGGTAACACTACCACCTTCTTTATAGGCTTATAAGAGTATAGCAGTTCATATAAAGTCCTTACAACTCCAGGTACATAGAAAGTGCTATAAAAGAGGCTCTGGCTAGGAGCGAGAGCTTACACCTGTAATCCTAGCACATTGGAGGCCGAGGTAGGAGGACTGCTTGAGCCCAGGAGTTTGAGACCAGCCTGGTCAACAGTGAGACCCTTGTCTCTACAAAAAATTTAAAAATTAGCCTGACATAGTGGCACATGACTACAGTCCTGGCTACTCAGGAGGCTAAGGCTAGAGGGTCACTTGAGCCAAGGAGTTGCAGGTTGCCGTGAGCTATGACCACCCCACTGTATTTCAGCTTGGGCAAGAGTGAAATCGTGTCTTTTCTTTTTTGGAGACAGAGTTTCACTCTGTCACCCAGGCTGGAGTGCAGTGGCATGATCTTGGCTCACTGCAACCTCTGCCTCCTGGGTTCAAGCAATTCTCCTGCCTCAACTTCCTGAGTAGCTGGGATTACAGGCATGCGCCACCATGCCCAGCTAATTTTTGTATTTTTAGTAGAGACGAGGCTTCACCATGTTGGTCAGGCTGGTCTTAAACTCCTGATCTCATGATCCGCCTGCCTTGGCCTCCCAAAGTGCTGGGATTACAGGTGTGAGCCACTGTGCCTGGCCTGTGACTATGTCTCTTTGGAGAAAAAAAAAAAAAAAAAAAAAAAAAAGAGGCTGCTATCATTAGCATGCTTACTTTCAAACTGTTAAGTTTCTACCTGGATGCATTTTTAACATTTATTCATTCTATTTATTCATTCATTCATTCTGAGACAGTCTCGCTCTGCTGCCTAGGCTAGAGTGCAGTGGCATAACCTTGGCTCACTGCAACCTCCACCTCCTGGGTTCAAATGATCCTTCCATCTGAGCCTTCTGAGTAGCTGGGACTACAGGTGCCTGCCACCATGTCTGGCTAATTTTGTATTTTTAGTGGAGATAGGGTTTCACCATGTTGGCCAGGCTGGTCTCGAACTCCTGGTTTCAAGTGATCCACCCACCTTGTCCTCCCAAAATGATAGGATTACAGGCGTAAGCCACTGTGCCTGGCCCTTGGATGCATTTTAAATTGCAGATAGAGTACTAGAAGAAACCCATGGAGGATGTTTTACAAACCAAAAAGCTTCCCCTCCCCTGGGGTTGGAGGTAGGGTGGGGTGGGGCTGGGTTGAGCAGGAACTTGTGAGGTTCCAGAGCCCTGGTTACAGGTGATCAGTGGTCAGCAACTCCCCAAAGTGGACAAGACCAGAGAGGGGTCCATTGTGGATCCACTGGTGAGAGTGCAGATCTTTGGTGTCCGTCTAGACACAGCACGGCAGGAGACCAACTATGTGGACAACAATGGTGAGAAACTGGCAGTGCTGGGGAGGTGGTGGTGGGAGCATGATTAATTTTCCTTCTAGTCTGCCTTCCATTAAGTATAGTCTGTTATTGCATGGCCCCACATGGGAGGCAGTGTGGAACAGTACAAGGAATCCTGGCCCTTCACTTAAAAGCTCCAGCGACCTGGGCAAATTACTTGCTTACTCCGAGCCTTTTTCCTCGCCTGTAAAATGCTGATTGCCACCTAGATTAGAGAACACAGGGAAAGCAACCCAGTCAAGAAGGCTGTTATGTCTTTTTCTTCATTTCCTACCTACCAACTCAGGTTTTAATCCATACTGGGGGCAGACACTATGTTTCCGGGTGCTGGTGCCCGAACTTGCCATGCTGCGTTTTGTGGTAATGGATTATGACTGGAAATCCCGAAATGACTTTATTGGTCAGTACACCCTGCCTTGCATCTGCATGCAACAAGGTGAGCCAGCCCCTGTGACCCCTGGCCAATACTCCAACTCTGGCTGCCTTCCTAATGCTGTCCTCCTGGTCCTTCCAGGTTATCGCCATATTCACCTGCTCTCCAAAGATGGCATCAGCCTCCGCCCAGCTTCCATCTTTGTGTATATCTGTATCCGGGAAGGCCTGGAGGAGGATGAGTCCTGAGTTGGGCACTTCATGGGAAGAGTTGGTGTGCTGGCTTTAGATAGTGAGAAATACCTGGAAGGCTGCTCTAGAGAACAAATGGAGGTGGTGAAACCAAGCTTTGGATTGTGCATTCCTAGGCACAAAATTACCTCATCCTTCCTAACAAGCAGATCTGGGACCTCATTTGCCACCTTTTTTCTCTTTTCTTCCCTTCCCTTGTTTTCGTAAGCCTTTGGTACTTTTCCTGCCCTTTCCCTTTGTGTATTCTATACTGGAGTTCCCTTCCTCCTCTTGCTGTAGGCTCAATCCCATACGAACATCTACGACTGATATTTCCCATCAACTCTTGTGAAGGCAGATTGCAACTAGAAATTCAAAAGGGTTTGGAACAGAGAAACCCCAACTTTACTCAAAGCCCAAAGCCAAGGGAAGGATAAATAAAGGCTCAAGGCTTCCCAGGCAAAGATTAGGGAGAGACTTGACCCCAGGACAGTACTACAACTCTCAAGAGAACACTGCACAGCACTCACAGTCCCCAGTGGACTGCTTCCTCCTTAGCCCCACTGGTATAAATACATCTCTCTCCAATTTGACTTGAGTATGATCTGTCATTGTTGGGCAAGAAGGGGAGATACAAGGGTTGTGGGGACATCTGGGTAGTCTGGTGGGACAAGGAAAACATAGAGAAAGAAGAAGTTCCCAGGAGATCTCTTGCATATGCTACACAGGAAGGACACAGAGTATGGCTTTTAAGAATCAGGGCAGGCTGGGTGAGGTGGCTCATGCCTGTAGTCCCAGCACTTTGGGAGACTGAGGTGGGTGGATCACAAGGTCAAGAGATCAAGACCATCCTGGCCAACACGGTGAAACCCTGTCTCTACAAAAAATACAAGAATTAGCTGGGCATGGTGGCTAGTACCTGTAGTCCCAGCTACTCGGGAGGCTGAGGCAGAACTGCTTGAACCCAGGTGGTGGAGGTTGCAGTGAGCTGAGTTAGTTCGCACCGTTGCACTCCAGCCTGGCAACAGAGTAAGATTCCATCTCAAAAAAAAAAAAAAAAAAAAAAAAAAAAAAAAAAAAAAAAATCAGGGCAAAAGGAGACGAAGGGTGGGTTGCATTGTTCCAGCCTTTCTGAAGAGTCTGCCTGGAACCATTCTGGTTTATGTGTGTTGTCCCAGCATAATTATTTTTATTTATTTATTTTTTTGAGACAGAGTCTCACTCTGTTGCCAGGCTCCAGGCTGGAGTGCAGTGGCGCAGTCTCGACTCACTGCCACTTCCACCTCCTGGGTTCAAGCAATTCTGCCTCAGCCTCCCGAGCAGCTGGGACTACAGGCGTGCGCCACCATGCCCAGCTAATTTTCTATTGTTTTGGTAGAGACGGGTTTCACTATGTTGGCTCGGATGGTCTCGATCGCTTGACCTCGTGATCCGCCCACCTCGGCCTCCCAAAGTGCTGGGATTACAGAGGTGAGCCACTGCTTCTGGCCCAGCATAATTAATAGTACCCTCTTTAGTTTAGTTTTCCCAGTGTGTCCCAGTTTAGATGATCAATTATATAGCAAGGCACTATAGCATTATACTGTGAGGCACTGACAGAATTCTCAATTGGAGATTCTCCTCTCTAGTCATCTGCCTTTCCATAGTATCCTTGTGCTTCAACAGCTTAATGTAGCTGCTGAGCCAGTCTGAGGACTGACGATGAGCTAAAGCTGCTTCTAGGAGGAGGCTTAGTGGGTAGCAATCCTCCCTCTATAGATACAGTAGACAAAGGAGCTTGGAAGTAGGGGGTAGGGCAAGGGCCAAGACAGGCTCAAGGACAGGGAGAAGGCGGACCTAGGCCTGTTTCAGAAGCAATACTAAGTGAAGATAGAAGGAGGCAAAAGCAAGGCAGAGGTCTGAGAGGGGACAGAGTTGATCAAGATGACAGCCTGGAAATGTTAACACAAGGATTTGGATGAATCCATAATGTAGTAACCACTTTCTGTTTAACATTCTTTATAGAGCATTAGGCACAACAGCACATGCGGTTAGATACAACTGTTTTGAGAAGATTCTGAAAGAAAATAGGACTTGACACAGTAAGAAGGAAAGAGAAGATGGAGTGGGTAAAATCCAGATCTTACAGCCAGGGACTTTGATGGAGTGAGGGTGAAGAAACTGTGAACTCACAGGTTAAAAACACAATGTATAGCAATAAGAAATCAACGTCCGAGGGCCAGGCACAGTGGCTCACACCTGTAATCCCAGCACTTTGGGAGGTCAAGGCGGGAGGATCACGAGGTCAAGAGTTCGAGACCAGCCTGGCCAACATGATGAAACCCCATATCTACTAAGAATACAAAAATTAGCAGGGTGTGGTGGCATGTGCCTGTAATCCCAGCTACTCGGGAGGCTGAAGCAGGAGAATAGCTTCAACCTGGGAGGCGGAGGTTGCAGTGAGCAGAAATCGCACCACCGCACTCCAGCCTGGGTGACAGAGCAAAACTCTGTCTCGGAAAAAAAAAAAAAAAAGAAAGAAATCAGTGTTGTAGTCCATGTCTCTCTTTTATATGGGTGATAATTTCAAAGTACTATAGCGAGTCCCAGGAGGATTCTAGTCACCCTTGCACCCCAAAAGCCAGTCTTCCCTTAGGCTCTGAGCTCCTCAGGCTAGCGCTGGTCAACGTCTGCGCATCTCAGACCATACCCTCTTCCTCTCCAGGAGGTGGGGCAGGCTGTCAGCCCTCAGGTCCAGTGTGGGGAGTGGCAGGAGCAGGAGGGCTGGCATCCTCCAGCTGCACATCATGCAGGTGCACCGTGGGGGTGGTGGGGTCTTTGCCCACACCCTGGTTTGGGTCGGCTTGGTCAGGGTGGTGCCTGCGCACGTGCTTGACCACCTGGAATTTTTGCTTGGCCTTGTAGTTGCAGAGGCGGCAAAAGAAGGGGTGGCGGTCGGTGTGGGTGAGGGCATGATGGCGCAGGCCAGCAGCCCAGCGGAAAGCACGGTGGCACACGTTGCACACATAGGGTTTGGCCTCACTGTGCTTGCGAAGGTGGGTACGCAGCAGGAAGCGCGTCTTGAAGGCCTTGCCACACTGGTCACACATGAAAGCCCGTGCCTCTCGGTGCCGTGTCTCCTGGTGCACACGAAGTGCATCAGCCCGGTTGGTGCAGTACTCACACTCGGGACACTGGTATGGCTTCAGTCCTACAGGACAGGGAACAAATCACCAATGAAAGGTGGTGGAGCAAGGTTCACTGGAGTTACTGTGATCCACAAATATAAAGAATGCACACAGCAGGTTAACGAGCGTACTTTGGAATGCTCCAGTCCTCGAGTCCTCTCTGACATTTATTTTGAGATGGAGTTTGCTCTTGTTGCCCAGGCTGGAGTGCAATGGTGTGATCTCAGCTGACTGCAACCTCTTTCTCCCAGGTTCAAGCAATTCTTCTGCCTCAGTCTCCCAAATAGCTGGGATAACAGGCATGCACCACTACACCCGGCTAATTCTGTATTCTTTTGTGATCCACCCACCTTGGCCTCCAAAGTGGTTGGATTACAGGCATGAGACACTGTGCCCAGCTAATTTTGTATTCTTAGTGGAGACAGGGTTTCACCATGTTGGCCTGGTTGGTTTCAAACTCTTGACCTCAGGTGATCTGCCCACCTTGGCCTCCCAAAGTGCTAGGATTATAGGTGTCAGCCACCGCGCCCGGCCCTGTCTGACATTTCTGTGCTCTTCCAACACAGCATCCTTGTACATCCATAAGAAATCAATGTTGTAGTCCCAGCAATCAATGTTGTGGGTGCCCAAAGGATGCTGATGATTAACTGGACCTCTAACCAGTTAGCTTATCTGAGAGTAATGAATATTCAAATATGGAACAGTTTCCACATACATGGGAAATTACAACCCTCTTTTGGTCACAGGGTACTCATGGAATTTGAGAATTCATTTAAATACAACTGCTTGTTCAACTCAAAAAGTCAAAGACCCTGTCTCTACAAAAAAAATTAGGTGAGTGTGGTGATGTGCACCTGTAGTCCCAGCTAACTGGGAGGCTAAGGCAAGAAGATTGCTTGTACCCAGGAGTTTGAGGTTGTGGTGAGCTGTGACTGCACCACTGCACTCCAGCATGGGCAACCGAGCAAGACCCTGTCACTAAAAAAATAAAAATAAAAAATAAGTTAAAGAAATACGTAGGAGGAAAGAAGTAGAGGTGAAAGAAGTGGAATTCATAAAAGCAAAGGGCCTTGAAATGCCCCTAATCAACTCCTCCATATATGGAGGATCATATGCAATAAGCACAGGCACACAATTACGTGGTTTTTTTTTTTTGAGACGGAGCTTTGCTCTGTCGCCAGGCTGGAGTGCAGTGGAGTGATCTTGGCTCACTGCAACCTCTGCCTTCCAGATTCAAACGATTCCCCTGCCTCAGCCTCCTGAGTAGCTGGGACTACAGGCATGTGCCACCACCAGCTATTTTTTGGGTTTTTTTTTTTTTTTTTTTTTTTTTTTTTTTGAGTTGGAGACTTGCTCTGTAGCCCAGGCTGGAGTGCAGTGGTGTGATCTCAGCTCACTACAACCTCCACCTCCTGGTCCTGGTTCAAGCAGTTCTCCTACCTCAGCCTCCCAAGTAGCTGGGATTAAGGCATGAACCACCATGCCCAGCTAATTTTTGTATTTCTTAGTAGAGACAGGGTTTCACCACGTTGGCCAGTCTGGTCTTGAACTCCTGACCTCATGATCCACCTGCCTTGGCCTCCCAAAGTGCTGGGATTACAGGCATGAGCCACTGTACCTGGCCTGTTTGTTTTTTATTTTTTTTGAGATGGAGTCTCCCTCTGTCTCCAGGCTGGAGTGTAGTGGTGCGATCTCGGCTCACTACAACCTCCCCCCTCCTGGGTTCAAGCGATTTTCCTGCCTCAGCCTGCCGAGTAACTGGGACTACAGGTGCACGCCACCACAACTGGCTAATTTATTTTTAGTAAAGACAGAGTTTCACCTGTTGGCCAGGATGGTCTCAATTTCTTGACCTCGTGATCCACCTGTCTTGGCCTCCCAAAGTGCTGGGATTATAGGCATGAGCCACTGCATCCGGCCCAGATTGTGTGCTTTCAAAAGCCAAATGCTGGGTGTGGTGGCTCACGCCTATAATCCCAACACTTTGGGAAGCCGAGGCGGGCAGATCACGAGGTCAGGAGATCGAGACCATCCTGGCCAATGTGATAAAACCCCCATCTCTATTAAAATACAAAAAAATTAGCTGGGTGTGGTAGCATGTGCCTGTAATCCCAGCTACTCAGGAGGCTGAGGCAGGAGAATCCCTTGAACCCAGGAGGTGGAGGTTGTAGTGAGTCGAGATCTCACCACCGCACTCCAGTCTGGTGAGTGAGACTCCGTCTCAAAAACAAAAAACCACCACCACCACTGCCACCGCCGCCGCCGCCGCCGCCACCACCACCACCACCACCAAGTTTGTGGATTCCATACCCAGAAGAAAAGGACAGATTGTAACAGGGGAACCCTCTACTTTCTCCTTTTAACTCATGACAGTTCCATCATCTCTGTGTTAAGAACCAGGTAATATTTCATTATATATATTAAAA